ATTTTTCCTGAACGCCTCCAGGAATGTCAAAAAACAGTGGTGAAGAAATGGTCCAGAGTTCGATCCCGGTGATGACTAATTTTTGCAATATAGTTTGGCGCCCCAGATTGCCGCCAAATGGCGCCATCGTCGAGAATAGATGTCATTGTCGTGTTTTGCGGCAATTTGGAAGGCGCCAATTGCAAAAATTTGTCATCACGGAGGATCGAACTTTGGACCATTTCTTCCCCGCTGTTTTGACATTCCTGGGGCGTTCAGGAAAAATGGACCATGGTTCTGTATTTCTCACATGAGCCTCGTACAGAACCCAGAGAAACCGTTCGAAAAACTCTTGCTGTCCTGAAGACCCCTGTTAGACCCCAATGATCACACCTGGGCCATGGCGAAAATGTTTTAAAAAACTGAGTGACATTTGGGACAGAATTTCACGATGCGCAATAATTTCTGAAAGCAATTGCTCTCTGTATTGAGAGATGCTTGAATCAGGGATAGCTTCTTGATCATTCTCCAGATATTCGAAAGCTTCACTCCATTCCAAAACATTGCACAAGCAACTTAAGGACCTTGTAATCGCAAAAACGCTCACAAACCTGAACATCGTCGATGCTTACCGCATCGTTGCCGCGTGTGTCCGCAAGAATCTTCATATATACCTATAACACCAAGATTAGAGTTATCACAACGGGGATGCGCTCTGTGAAGGGGTCACAAAGGAAGAACAAGTAGAGCATGATGAACTGCATACTTTTCTCGTAACTGTCAAGCCCTCGAAATAGTATTAAATCCATGCTTTGATTGATATGGACTCTTATCAAGATCAGGACTCCTGTATAACAAACTACAGCAAAGCGGTCGCACAAAAGGGTGTAGAGCGAGGTGCATATGAACATTGGATTTTTGGCACAACAACATTACTAATGACATCTCACGGCAAGCAGGTTCGAAAGACGAACACAGTATGGACATACACTCAAGAAATACTTGCAACTCTCATTCAAAAGTATGACTAAGATTCAATACTACAGTCGAGATCCGAAAGTTGGGGTAGGCGTGTCACCGGAAGTGACGTGGACTTGATAGAAGTTGCGTAGATAAGTCGTTGCCAGCATGCTTTGCTGATATCTCGCGATGTATATTGGAAGCCCTTATCCACATAGATTCTATCAAGTACACGTCACTTCCGGTGACACGCCTACCCCAACTTACGGATCTCGAGTATAAACATGAAGTGCAATAAATTGAGGAACCAACCTGGACTTGATTCTGCTGCATATGAAGAACACAGAGCAAAAAGAACAACAAGACCGAGCCACATCAGCGCAGACGAACAACGAATGAAAAGACGATAGCCCGTTGTCATGGGTTGAATTGAAAATGCGTTCTTAGGTGTAGGCCAACGGACTACAATGAAAGACCTCCTCATGTTCCTAAAAAATTCACAATCGAAAATGGAAAGCAGCCCAGCAACAGGCGACCAGCCCAGAGAAGACAATTTCGAAAGGAGATGATTCCAATTTACGTACAGAGAAAGCCAAATCTACCCTCCCCCCCTCCCTGCAAATTACGTCAGCAAACTTTGTTGAGGACACTCGTCTATGAAAATCTTCACAAAGGAAATAACGTAAATAATGGGAAACCCTACACAACAGGAGAGCGTTCCACCTCATTCACTAAGTGGTAAAATGTTGAACATTCTGCGGTAATATTACCAGCATGTCTAGGATTCGGGAGCGCATCGCCTGCTTGCGGAATGGTGTCTGCAAAACAGAGGTCCTGGCCGGGATCGAACCGGCGGACCTTCTGCGTGTAAAGCAGACGTGATAACCACTACACCACAGGACCACACGTCTGGTTCAAAAGAGCGTTCCACCTCATTTACTCAGTAGCACAATGTTGGAAACCTTTCCGTACTGGCGAGCTAGTGGAATCAACCATACCCAAGGTCCTGCTTGCAGAATGGTGTCTGCAAAACAGAAGGTTCTTAACGGTGATCTCGTATAACGATGCGACACTGCAGAAGAGGTCCTCCGCGGACGTGAATGCTCTCTTGCTCAGAACTATAGCAGAGCCACCATTAGCGCTCAATACACACCGGATCATTATACCACGATAACAACGACCAGAATATGTGCAGAACTTCGCGCAATCAGTTGGATAGGATGTTTAGAAAGTAACCTGCGTTCGCAGCCTACGCACCAACATCCAGCTACGACGAAGAGAACACGAAGCATTTTATATGGAATTGGAGAAGTTCTACAAGGAAGATCATACCTTCTTCAAGGTCATCGTCGGCGACTTCAACGCCAAGATTGGCCCGAGAAGAACGGCTGAAGAACTTCACATCGGTACTCCATGCAGGAAGCCATTTAAAAATGCTCCATGTCGTGAAAGGCTCCCTTGTAAGGAGGGGGGAGAGAGCCCAACCTGTTTAAAGCCACATGATGGCATATTCTTCCAGTGTGAAGGTTAAGGGCAATGCCTTAAAGGAGGGAAAACTCCAGGTTAGTGAGCAATCTTCGTTTTCTCTGGCGGAATTCCTCCCTCTTCCCAGGGTTAATCCTAGCTGCTCACTAGGCATTGGAATTGTGTTGTACTTTTCATGGACGTTTATGTCATCTAGCACAAGAATCACATACATTATGACAAAACAAGAAGAAATAACGTAGGAATAAAGCTGATAGCAGCTCGTAACTTCAGAGGACTCCTTGAGCCAAACTAGCACAGCAGACTGTGCATCGCTATGCCCCCTCCTGCTGAAATAGATCCAGTCAGTGAACTCGAAAATAAAAATATAGGCGCGAAGATGGCTGTCATTGAAGAAAAGGGAAAGGAATCACGAAATAGATTGAATCTGGGCAGACATTAGTGACATTCACCTTGAAAGCAGTGAACACGATGCACTCAGATGCTTCTGCCAAAATTCATTACAGCGCGTCAGCTAACCGCAAGCAAAAAAAAATCACCAGGTCTAGGCAGACGGAAATGTTTCCTTTGCATAATAAGATTACTTTCTAGCCTTTCTGTGTTTTCTTTACTTTTTTTTATAATTGGTACAAAACTGCAACTAGTAGCCTTTGTAGCGCGAATGAATATTATTAGGCTTTAAGACCGATGGGCCCATCAGGACCCCACAAGAGTCGGATGTTTTTTCTCTTTGAACCACTCATCGAGGTAATTTAATGCACTAATCACGAATATGGGACTCGGTTTTGACGGTGGCGCCGGTTTGGCGCTACCTTGATCCAAGTAGCGTCGGAATGGCGCCAGATGGCGCCAGCGTTACAATCGGGCGTCATATTCGCAATGAGGACGCTAAATAACCCCCACACGTACGGTGCCGAAGACGAATGTCGTCTTATGGTAAGGACAGCGCATTTGAAAACTTTAGATTGTCGCAAGAGATCGGAGTTTGTTAATGCGGATCAGAGGCATGGAGTAGAGCTGACGGTGAAACTCGAGGTTCGGGGGGGGGGGGACGCGATGGTGCGACGCTCTGTTCGTCTGCTCCTTCATGGCCTAGTCCACTGCGCCATCGGGGTGACTAAGCCTTGGTAAAGCAGACGAAAACAGCGCCGCGCCATCGCATGCCCCCCCTCCGAACCCGAGTTTCACCGAGCTGAACGCTAGAGTAAAGCTTGGTTGGATACTTCAAGACACCATTCGGAAAACGAGAAGAGCGTCGAGTGCAGACCTACACACCACAAGTGACGACCGTCAAGAAAAAAGAAAAGAAAGAGGCAGTTTGGTCTTGGCCGGCATTACTTGTGTATGGTCTACATTCGACGTACTGGGTACTTGTTCGACTTTCAGTGGTCTACAGCTCGTGCTCAACGAGGCCGTTTCTTCATGAGCCTTTCGTAAACGAAAAATGTAATTTCAGAAAGATCAGGGTTGAATGAGATTGGAAACGTATCGTCCCAATTATCATCTTTATAGGATCCTTCGGCACGCAAAATTGAAGTCGTTGTTGAGAATCCATTACCAGGACTGATTCCGCAGAAAGTTCGTCGTGCATCCGGTAAGGAACGAACGCTTTGGAATCCTTTTTGATGAGTACTTCTCCTTAAAAAAGGGTTCATTATGGACCCGTGGCATTTTATTTGAAGTTATTGAGAAAAGTTGTTTTTAAATTCTTAAAAATAACAAAGTCAACTGAGTATCTCTTTTGTTTTGATGACCACTAATCATTACAGCGTAGATAACAAGGAGTTCTTTCAGGACTTGGAGCGGCTTTCCATAACGGTTTCCTGAAGTTGTAGAAGCTCATGCAAAGTACATCCTTCCGTGATCTACTAATTTTGCAATTTTTGCAGCGTCCAATCCGCCAAACTATCGCAAGAACAAAATACGTGCACCTCGTTAATTGGCCAATTGGAGGTCACAACACCCCAAATTCAAAAGTTTCTCACCACGGAGGATCGGACGTCGGACGCCAATGTTTTGACATTCCTGGAGGCGTTCAGGAAAAATGGACATGGTTTCGTGTTCCTCGTGAAAGCCTCTACAAAATGGCAGGTGACCGTTTTGAAAAAGCGCATTATGTACTGAAAGACTTCCCTTGTAAGTATGCCTCGATTAATCTCCAGCCTGGCTTAAAGGAAGATTCCACGATAAGGTCGAAGGTCGAAAAGGGGAAACTCACCTAGTGGGAAGACAGGCGGATCCCCTAAGGGTGCGGACCGACACGCAATTCGCAGCAAAGGATATGTCCGCGATCTAGCATGCCCTTCCCGCTGCGCTATCGGCGTGGTACGCCTACCTCTCGCTGTCTGACTCAAGCCGTTCAGCTGAGAGAGAAAGCATTAGCGTTGAAGAGGGCAGCGCCGATGAAAGAATCAACCGGCAATTATTTTGTCCGATTTCCGGATTCTGGGTGTTTTCTCATTTTTTATCCCTGCAGCACTGACCACCTCTACTGATTTCTAGTCAGTTCCGGGAGTCGAATCTCGCTTGAATCTCGCGCAGGCCAACCAAGCCCGCCGGCCTTATGAGAATATAGGGGTAGCCAAACGAAGAAACATCTCGCTGATGAGGCGCATCAAGAAGCTCGACCTCGCTCAAGGTGCCGCGGTTAATGAAAGTCAGAAAATAAATAAATAGAAGTCGTGAAAATTATGAATGACCCTTCATAAGCAGAAGCAAGTCCTCCTCCACTACCTCGCTCTCTTCAGAATCAACGAGATGTGTCATCTCCGTCGAACTTAAGGAGGTCTACGGTAATAGCTCACGCCTGGAGCTGTTGTATATTTTCTTGAACGATTTACTGTGGGACATCGTTGTAAGGACAATGGCCCTGATCTTGCAGTATCCTTGCTGAGCAGCACTTGAAACAATCTGAGAGTGACCACGATACGTTGAAGGGCTCGTGATATCAACCTTTGCACCATGTTCCCGAGGAAGATTCTTGCAATTTCTCGAGTATTTGAGGATATGATAGTTTCCCGATAGAATGGAACGTGTTCATCAATTCTCTAACAGAATTGTCAGGTTTGAGTTCGGCGAAGTGTTATAAAGTCGGTCCTTGAAGCGGAAAATGCCTTTTTTGGCCACCCCTGTACACCTCTTCGAAGAAAAGTTCAAGGATAAGCTCGTCGTGGTTCCTTTCCTTTTTCTACACTGTCAAGTCGATAAGTGCCTACTATCTTACATTCAAATCCCTCTAGGTGGTCCCTCTGTCCCGGAATGTATCTGTAGGCGCGGATTCCTTTGTACACCTGTAGAAGACCATATCAATAGCTTAAAACGTCGTCTCGTCAAGCTTTTTTCGATGAGTTTGATTTAAAAAGAAGAAACAATCACAGGAAGCATACAAGAAAAAAAAACTTCTACGTCCTCCCCCTGCAACCCTTTTTATATTAAATCACCAGATTAGTCCCCCGTCAACCGCCGGGACCTTCCTTCCCTGCGTAAACTTTACGTCTTTCGCTGTGGTCCCTTCCACCAACACCTCGCGTAGGTGACGCGTATGCTACAGAAAAGGAGTTTCATATAGTAGAGTTTATCGCCATAATGAACTAACGAAGACGATGTTTATGAGAAACGGATTGGTTCCTGATGCCCCATTCACGCTCAACGGAACGAACATCACCGAATGCTCCAGCTACGTGTACCTAGGTCGGGAAATCAATATGATGAACGATCTAGCTCCAGAGCTGAGCAGGAGGAAACGAGCGGCTTGGGGAGCGTACAAGAACATCGAGGGAGTAGTGAAGAAGACGAAGAACATCCGGCTCCGTGCCCACCTCTTCGATTCCGCTGTCCTTCCTGCCCTAACCTACGCCTCAGAGACTTGGACTCTGCGCAGGCAGGACGAGCATGCGGTCAGCGTTATCCAACGCGCTGTCGAGAGGACGATGCTAGGAGTAACCCTATACACGCAAGTGCAGAGGGAATCCGGAGTGCCGAACTACGCCAACGATCGAAGATCAGGGACGCTGCCGTTTTCGCCAAGGAATCGAAGATAAGGTGGGCCGGACACGTCATGCGATTTTGCGATGACCGTTGGACCAGAGCGGTTACCGACTGGATCCCTCGGGACGTCAAACGAACACCTGGACGACCGCCGGCCCGATGGTCAGACTTCTTCACGAAAGCTCTGAACGAAAGGAATGAAGGACACCGTGTCCCTCGAGCGAGGAGGGTCCACTGGACAACTCTTGCACGCGACAGGGACGAATGGAGACGTATGCTGGCGCCCGCTCGAGCAAGCACCATGCGGAAATGACCGGAAGTCTTCATTAGGTGTTTATGTAGCCGTAGGAAGTGTTATCACAATTATCCTATTGCAAAACATTGATAGCTCAAGCCCTGCGAGCTACCCAGATTTCTCAGCGGCTTCCTTATTCAATTCCATTTAGCTGCCTTATCACTCTCTTTATTTTGCGAACGGACAGAGATACATACATACACACATACAGACATACATATGTACAAACCGACACACCAAATAAGCGCTTTGTAAAATAAGGAGATTGCTCGATACTTCTTTGTCGTACCTGAAAATTCCAAACGTTTGAGTTTAAAGCTATTCTATGGATGCGATAAGCTTCCTTTTTACAGATGCACCTACGAATGTAGACGAGAAACAGATCCATGGAGAAACAACCGTTCGAAGAGTGAAACGTAAGAGCGGTGGGAAAAAAGCTTTGAAAAACAAGAAAGGAAAGCTGAACAAAGGAAGCGCTACTAATCCATGACTGATCGAGAACCACAGACAATTTTGCCTACATTTATTGTTAACTTTAATACAATGTGTACCAATGAAGTTATGTGAATAGTCTCGTACATTCGCCCTTACAGTATCTATGGTATAAAACCAATCAATTACGTACTTATTTATTAATTACAATTATTAAAATGTGATATATCACTACCCGATTTGGATCCTGCGAAAGATTTCCGCTACGCTCCCTTCCACTTTTGACAGTAGTTTAGTGGATTCTTTGGGAACATTTTCGAGACATCAAGTCTTCTATGAGTATTCGACTAAGATGTTGTCGGTACGAGAGTCCTTATAATTTCAAAGGAGCTCCGAAAGCGATGGACGGCTGTCATCATCAATTTTGCTACGTTTTAACGCTATGTGTTTTGGTTGGAAAGCAAAACGTGAACGAAACATCTGGGGACAACCAATGAGTGTTTGTCTTACTCCAGGGGCCGTAAGGTATGCTTCCCCGAAGGGTTAGGGGACGAAAGTTCCTTTAAATTTTCTCTGTAGTCCCAACTGGGATTGTCCTGATAAAGGGCCTAAACAGGGCGGTATTCAATCCTTCCCCCAGGGGGATATATCCCCCTACTCTGATTCAATCCTCTGGGGGGACAAAAAAGGGTTGCGTCATAGGACCTAGCATACCTCTGTGTTTCTACCTGCCAGACAGTTAGAGCAGCGCGACCCCTCAGGGGAAAAGAGTGCTTCATCAGTGGAGGGTAGTAGCGCTGCTCTAACTGTCTGGCAGGTAGAAACACAGAGGTATGCTAGGTCCTATGACGCAACCCTTTTTTTCCCCCCAGAGGATTGAATCAGGGGATCCGTATGCTGAATGTTGGGTAGGGGATGGGGTCCCCGACCCGCGATGCTGAATGTTGGGGCTCCCAGCAGAGTTTCGTCGCGGGACCGGGCGGCCACTGACCGGTCCTTTGATTTTACGATTACGTTTTCACCTTTTTACTGTTTTACACTGTAGATTTGTCCACGTATATGCAGCTATATTGTAATTGCTTTAGTTTATCCTTTGATTCTTTCACATATTGGAGCGTTCGTGTACGTCTAGCTGTATTGCCGTAATCTTGCCAGTCTGTCCATTCACTACTTTAGACTGAAGTTTGGTTCGCGCCTTCTATTACTTCGTGCCATATTGGTGTATTACTTCAATATGGCAATGTGTGCGTGGACGAATCTGTAATCTAGAACAGTGAAAAGACAAAAACTTCATCACAGAATTAAAGGACTGGCCAGTCACCTGTAGGTCCCGCGACGAAACTCTGCTGGGAGCCCCAACATTCAGCATCGCGGGTCGGGGACCCCAGCCCCTACCCAACATTCAGCATACGGCCCCAGAGCAGGTGGATATATCCCCCTGGGGGAAGGATTGAATACCGCCCCAGGTCCAAAACCGTCCGCTTGTATTTTGAATAAACGCGGCAGTGGTGTAGTGGCAAGTGGCACGCTTACCACGCGAGCGGTCCGGGGATCAAATCCTGGGTCGTGAGTCGCCCGGGCCAACCAAGCCTTCCATCCCTCCGGGGTCGGTTAATTGGTACCAGACTTGTCTGGGAGGATAAAAACACTGACTTGTACATCGGCTGGCCCCGCAAGTCATTGTATAGGCCACATCGCATTCAAACGCCACTACGAATGTACAAATGGAAGTAGAATGCGTGCCGCATCCCAAAAGGGATTGATCAACGGCAAATGCTTTATCCTTTATCCTTTATTTTGAATATAGCACGCATGGCCCGGAATGAAATGCGGAGACTGATCTCGTCCAGTTCAATCATGCCTTCCATTGCCCAGGCATCGTACAATTAGTCCCACATTCAGCTTCGAAGATGAATAACATCGACTTTTACGCTGTGACCATTGTTTCAGTTTTTTGCATAAGCCATGTAATATTCAGACCCCGCAGCGTTTTTAAAAGAAGTAAAATGCATGGCGCACATCGAAAAGTATGCATTAATTCCGTGAGCTTTGTCTTTTTATCCACTTTTCAGCGTTTGCTTGCAAACCAACAATAAGTGCCTTCATAGCCAATAAACATTCAGTAGTGAAGGTGAAAATGTGGGGTAAAAATGAAAGGCTTTACCATGACTCTCCAAGCATAGATCAATTTTCTAGTCACCTTTAGAGATTAAATGAATCCAGCTACTCTATGTATGCGTATGTAGACGAAAAAGACATGCAGATCTACGCCCTGAACGACATCAACTTCTTGGAGCGCTAAAGGAAGAAAGAGCTATAATAGTTTAACCATGTTCTTCAATTGTTTTTTTTTATCGTTTTCGCCACCATATACTCTGATGAAGATACCTCGTTGGGTTCTAGGACCAATATAGCCATCCATAGAGACCAGTTCATTAGCGATTTCCTTCCGTCGAAGGTCTTTTCCGTGTAGAATATTCATAGTCCGCTCAGGGCGTGTTTCTGAAGCATCCATGGGAATAGAATTTCTCGGCGATCTCTTCAACAAAAGAAAGAGCTCTAACTTGCTCATTCATGAATGTGTAAGCCATGGAACAAAAGGCCTGTGCCGAGGGATCCGTTGTCCTGGAGAAGAGAACATAGCGAAGATGTCGAAATATGTCGAACAGGAGAAAATCGCAAAATAGTGCTTGGAATTTGATAGCTTATCCACAAAGTAGAGCAAGCAGCAGTGGCTAAGGGTTGAAGATTGTGACGATAATAGCGAGCTTAACATCTCCACTTCAAATTGAAAGCATCAGTTGCGAACAGGGCAGAGCAATTCTTTACGTAAATGGGTGCCAAGGTCTGCAGCAAATAAGTCATGGCACTGCGAGCAGGGCTGGATTCAAGGGGTTGATGAACAAAAATCCTTTTAAATTTATTTGTTTTTAACGATAAAGTTTCTTCACTTCCAGTGCATGTTCACTTTTGACTAAATTACACTCCTTTGCTGTTAGGCCCTTTTGCAAGACCAATCCAATTGAAAGACAGAAAATTTGAAGGGGTTTCCGTTCCCCAACCCTTCGGGGAGGGTTGAATCCGACTCCTGAAAGTGAGCGCCAATGACTTGAACACGCTGACGACATCGCGCGTTTGCTGTTGTGCTTTTGCACCGCGTGGGACGCAAGAGCGATTTTGCGAGCGCAGCCGCCGCACACCAATCCATGGATTTTAAGTTGTAAATACGCAATACTTAGATGATGATGAAATGTTTTCAATGATGTTCGATCTGTCTAGCTTATCAGGAGTTACAGTAATGAAGTTTGACCGAAATGACGTGTTAAGGCCATGAAAAGGGAGTTTTTACTTCGTTATGGTTACAAAGATTATGTCGGACGTGGTTGTTTCGTTAGTAACAAACTACTATTAGGTTGTCCCATAATTAGTGAATCACTTTACATTTATTGTTATTAAAAATCCAAGAAAAATGGTGAAGGCATGAAACATGTTTTGCGAAGTAGCATCCACATTATCCTACCTGAGCGATTACTCGGCCCATGTACATGCTGCCTTCCGTGGCTGATACTTCAATTTTTCTGGAACCTATTTTTGAGCTCCCTTCTTAATCACTTCTGATTAGGATCTTTCAAACGCCCAACAACATAGAGAATCAACCAGCGGATAGGCGAGGGCACGCTCCCTCAATCCGCGGTCTACTTGTAATTCACTCTATCGAGAGGTTGGCTTTTTTGAGTTGAAGATGACCCACACTCCAACTACCCCTCAAGTGGCAATCTCACTGCTGTACCCAGCGCCACTGAGGTGTGGATCTGGACAAACTTGTCGCCATTTGCTGGAGCATGTCCGGCTTATTAAACTGATGGAATGTAGACATCTACGTAGAGTTGTAAAGATTTTAAAATATTTAGTTTGTATCTTGTATGCTGTGAGCCCGAAACAGCTCCACACACGATCTGACATCATCATGTTCCTTCTGATCTCTCTTAGTTCCTTACAGTGATCATCCGGCATATGCATCAGGGTTCTGGACTGGGTGGAAGTGTACTAGCAAATCTCCAACAAGCAGCAGCTTAGCATGAAGGGTTCGGGAGTTCTGACAGCAAAAGCCGAACCCCCTTTGAGTCCGACCCTTTCCGAGATATTGTATGAGCACGAGAGTGACCTTACGCTGGGAACCGCCGCCCAGTAATACCAGGGTCACTGAGGAAGATCAGCATCCACAGCGCAATGGCGACGCGTTCAATTTGGAAGTAAAGCAAGACAAAGTCTGCTTTTTCCTGAGGTCGTTCGACCCCACCTTGCGGAGAATATTCATAAAAAATTGGAGACTTCCAGGCTAGCACTTCTTTCACCTCCTATATGTGGCCCTATCCTCGTGTCAACAAAATACAACTCAGTCTGACCTCTAGCGCTCTTCTCCAGGAAGAAACTTTACGCTAAGTGACATGACCTCAAACTCGACTTCCGATCTTTCTTCGATCAATAGCTCCTGGAATTCTAGAGATAAGACAGCAAAATTTCCTTGTATAGGCAATACATTGTAGATGACAGATGTATGTTTGGATGAGCAAAGACTCCACATAAAAAAGAAAAAAATTTGAATTCAAAAATACCCAAAGTGATTCACTAATTATGGGACAACCTAATATCTTCCATACGAATAGGTTTGTATTCACTTCTATTATTCCTTTTTATCAACATGTCTACGTTATTGAAAAGAAAACGAGGAATGAATTGAACAGACATATCCGTAAGGTCTGGAAAACTCTGCCAAACTAAAGAATATTTGGCCTTTCTGTGAGCCATGTGGTTTTTAAGTATGCTAATGTATGACCTATAGAATGAGTACAAAGACCTTAGGAATAAGTCGCACAAGCGCAAGAAAAAGGGATGACTTGGGTGGGACGCGTTACCGCGTCACAATGTCCCACGAGGTGCGCAAAGTGGGACGCGTTACCGCGTCACGCTGTCGTCAACGTGTTAAGGCTTTGCATTGAAGCAACACCCCAGATCGAATTTGTGGGTCACAGCGGTCATATTGGAAGTGTCGATACC